GGGCCACGGGGCTTTGTGACTGAATCACAAGCACACCACAATGCATGACGATGCATGGTACCGACTCCATAAGCATTATATAAACAGCAGGACGTTGCATACAAAAGACCATGCCCATGCAACGACAGAGATGGCTTCATAATTGAATAAATAACCGAATACTTAGCTGAACCTTCTAAACCAGCCGCCTTTCTAAGCCTGGGCAGTCCCCCTGAGAAACTACCTCCAGCCAGCTTTCACCTCATATTTTTGAGGATAATAGTGGTAAGGCTAATTTTGGACTCCAGCGCTAAACCCAAGCATAATGGGCACAGTCCATCCTTCAGCCACCAGAAGACTCTGCAGATGGCCAGATGATCAAAGTAAGACATGAGACACACCATTTGGGGGCCTCACGGAAACTGTGAGATGACAAAGTCTTTTTCTGTTGGGATGGAAGGATGGACATCTAGCATAGGTCAGAGGGCTCCTATGAAGAAAGAACCACACCGGCTAGCCACATCCTTATTCTTCCAAAATTGGTCACACCTGATGCCCCTGGAACTTTCAGTGAAATGAATCAATAATAGTCCCCCCCCCCCTGGCTTGGGCTTAAGGGAATCTGATTTGCCTGTCAATTTACAACCAAAGGGCGCTCTGATGATATTGGGCTTTGCCTGGCTCACAGCAGCCAGTCAACAAACTTCAGGCCCCTTTCTCCCCCCAGGCCAAAGAAAGGAAAGGACCTCCCTGATGTGGGAGTGTCATATATCAATCTGTTGATTTCATTGGCTGAGCAATAAAAGAAACTGCTTGGCTGGCCCTGATAGGTTAAAAGATAGATGGGAGGAGGAAACAGAATAGAATTCTGGGTGGAAGAGGAAGTGAGGTCAGACTCTGCTCGGCTCCCGGAGAGACCGGACAGCTCTGCTGGAGCAGAGACGCCATGCTCAACTCTCCCAGGATGGACAGAGGCTAGAATCTTCCCGGTAAGCGCACCTTGGGGTGCTTACACACATTATTAGAAATGGGCTAGTCCAGGTGCGAGAATTAGCCTGTAAGGGCTAGAGTTCATGGGCCAAGCAGGTCTTAAATGAATACAGTTTGCGTGTTGTTATTTCGGGCATGAGCTAGCCAAGCGGCCGGGGTGTTGGGGACGCAGCCCCGCCGCTCCTTATTTCAACACCTCCCACCCTCCACACCGATCTGCATAAACTGCAGGAGATGCTACCGCCCAAGGGTTTGGCACAGTGCCTGGCACTCAAGGTGGACCTAAGGAACATTACTACACTCTTCAACTGTACAACAGGAAACAGAGAAAATCCACAGACCCTGGGATTCATTGTTACACTCTTTTTTTAATGTATGGTTAAGTTGCGGCGTCAACAGCGCCAGGCGACCGTACTCAAGCTAGAACCCTGGCTACAAAATACTGGTCCTGGGGTTAGGTTGCAGTCATCGTGGGCTGACGCTGCGGGCGCACAACTCGCCACCTGAGGACGTGATTCTGGAGGTCTGGATGAGCCTCGCCGCTCTGCCTATGTCAAGTCCCTTTGTCAGTCACCTCGGCCACCCTGCCTCCATGCCTGAAGAGGCAGAGTTGCACGGCTACCCTAGCTTCAAAGCCACACCACCACGGGGACACGAGTCTCTGTCGTGCTTGCCAGTTCTCTATGGGAGCCGCCTCGTGCTGCTCCTTTCATATTAACCACAGGGAAAAAGCTGGGCAGGAAAAGGGCCCTTGTCCCCTCTGGGCTGTTCTCATGCTTTGCCAATGGACCCATCTTAGCATGAATTCAATTTCATTTTTCCTGCTGTTAGGATTTTTTTTCTTTTATAGCCATTTTTTTCTTTTTGTGCACTTTAAGCTAGGGGGAAAGTAACAATATTTTGGCATGAACTGTTAATCTATTTTCCATTTGGACTAACCGAATTTTTCAGAAACAAAATAGTTGTTTCAATCTTTAGGGAAAGCAATCCGAGGACAGTAGATGACCTAGAGCTGTCCATCCTATGGACCAAGCTCTTTTGGAATCCGGGTGCTCAGGAGACACCGGATTATTTGTGCCTGTCCCTGCTGCTCTGCTCCCAGCCCCTCTCTGTCTCCATGATTCGTGAGAGAATACAGTCTGGGATAGTCTAGCTGTTTTGGTTTTCCTTCCCGGGACTTGTCCAGTACAAGTGCCCTCCTACCCCCTTCCTATGTAGCCCAGGCTGCCACAAAATTGCTACTCAGTACAAGCCGACCCTGAAGTTGCAATCCTCCTGCCTCTGTCTTCAAAATCGAAATGCTAGAATTATAGGTATGCCCCATCCTACACGGCTCCACCAGACACTGCTGCTTTTGCCTTTTCCTGGTTTTTCAAGACGGGGGTTTTTCTGGGTAGTCCTGGCTATCCTGGAACTCACTCTATAGGCTGGCCTCGAACTCAGAACTTCACCCGCCTCGGCCTCCTTATGCTTCTTCATGGCAGGACTGGAGAACACGGTCAGCTGAGTGGCAGCTGTAGAGCTTTTCCAGCAGGTCTCAGCCTGCAGGCCATGACCCCTTTGGAGAACACATATCAGATTTCCTACATACCGGATATTTACATCATGGTCATAACAGTAGCAAAATTACGGTTTTTTTGAATAATGTTATAGTTGGGGAATCATTGAAACCCAGAGCGCTGTATTAAAGGGTGGCAGTGTTAGGGAGGTTGAGAACCACTGTGCCATGTTCCCATGTGGGGAGTTATCATCACATACCTGGGGAAGCCAGAGAAAAGTATCCTGTCCTGCTCAGTTGAGAACAGACCTGAGGGCACACAGCTACCCATATGCCCTCACTTTCTGCTGAGCCTTCCCTCCAAGCACACGTGTGGTGATGGATGCTCAACTCACACTGTCCCTGGCACGCCTTTCCTGGCCACTGAATGTTCTTCCTCACTGTCTCTGCTTAACCCAACAGCAAGTAATTCTAAAGTAAGACCACAACACTCTTTCCTAGATATCCCCACTCACATCAGTGTCCAGGCAAGGCAGTGGCGGTGCACACCTTTAATCCCAGCACTCACAAGGCAGAGGCGGGGGATCTCTGAGTCTGAGGACAGCCTGGTTCACAGAGTGAGTTCCAGGAAAGCCAGGACTACACAGAGAAACACTGTATTAAAAAAAACCAGGATGAAAAAAGGTCCAAAGGCTAAAAGGCTGTCTAGACCCAACCCTTCTTGCCCTGGCCTGCCTCTGACATTCCCCAGTGCTACAATGCGACCGTCATACCCACTTACTGGTTATTTCTGTAACATGGGGGTGGCTTTTCCACTTGCTGCCACCTATGCTAGAAAAGGCATTGGTTGGGCTAAGATGGAACCCATCATTTAGGTCTCTGCTCAGATGACTGCCCCAATCAGGATGCTCATGGTCCCTCCGAGCATTCAGAATGCGAAACTCTAGGTCCCAGCATGACCTGGCCTCTTCCCAGAGGTAGTTTTCTCCAGCTCACACATGGAACTCTTTGAGGAATATCTTAGAGGTTGCTTTCTTGCCTGTCTCCACCACAGCAGAAGGCCACAAGTGTTGAGCCACCGAGTCTCACTGCTGCTTTAAGGCCACAAGGGTTGAACCACTGACTCTTGACATTGCTTTAAGTTCACAAAGGTTAAGCCACTGATACTCGCTATTGCTTTAAGGCCATGAGGGCTGAGCCACTGATTGATGCTGTTGCTTTGTCTCAACAAGATGTCGTGACTCAAACATAAGAGAACTGATGGGAAGAAGATGAGGAGGATCTGAGCTATACTTGGGGCCACGGGCTCTTTTGCTCCCTTCCTGGTTGCCATGAGCAACAAGACCAGAGTCAGCTTTGGAAGGAAAGATTATTTGGGCTCTCAGTTTGAGTGTCGTCTTTCACTGCAGGGAAGATGTGGTAGCAGGGCCATAAAGCGACTTCCTCTCCACCAATCAGTAGAGAAGGGAATCCGAGCACTCCGCCAGCTTTCTCCTCTCCCTCTCTGTGTTCAGGCTGGATGCCAGCCCCTCGGGTAGTGCTGCCCACTTTCAGGGTGGATCTTTCCTAAGCATTTAATACAACCAAGTGGATGATCAAAATGAACCATTACGCTGGTGCCCTAGTTTGCTTTCTATGGCTGTGAAGATCACCATGACCAAAAGCAACTTGGTGGGTGGGAGGGTTTGCTTGGTTTACTGAATATCTCTACTGGAGGCATCACTGAGGGAAATGAGGGCGGGAACTAAAGCTGAGCAAAGGTGGGAACCAGGGAAGACAGCTGAGCACCGGCTTACCCACCCTTTCCCACCCTGGCTTTTTTCTCAGCTATTCCTATTCTACAGCCAGGTCTGTCTGCCCAGAGATGGCATGGTGGGCCAGGCACATCTACATCAATCAGCAATAAAAAAAATGCCCCCCCCAACACACCAACCAGTCTAACGGAGGCAATGCCTCACCTGAGGCTCCTTCTTCCCAGGTGACTCGCCTAGTTTGGGTCAAGTTGAGAAAAACTAAGGAGCGCACTGCTAAACCCTGTTCACCAGTGATGAAGGCCACTTGTTCCACTGAAGGAGCTGAGAATCTAGCTGAAAACTCTGAAAAGGCTCCAAGCTGGCTCCTTGGGGGACACAGTGAAAACTCTCTAGAGCAGTGATAAGGGAAGGCTGGCCACAAGCCTTCTGCATACCTAGTGCCACACGACCTAGAAACTGTTTGCCATCACCCAATTTCCTTCTCACCAAAAGGCTACGAAATACTTTAAGGGGCCTGCACCCAGCAGGGAGCAGAGCTGGGGTCTGAGTAGAGATCTCCCGGGTTCTCCAGTGGAGTTTACCACAAATGCTTGGACCTCGGATGCAGTGCTGGCCTGTGCCATCGTCCCGAGACCAAAATAAACAAAGTCTCCAGGTCAGAGACACAAGACTCAAACGCTCACTGCTTCAGCACTCTGAAGACAGAGGCCCCATGTTTAACTCCCCCCTGCTCACTCACCTCCAGTACCTCAATACCTGGCAGCCCCCTGCTCACTCACCTCCAGTACAGAAGCACAGCGATGAGAAGGACCAGGCACACGAAGGTCAAGGCTGAGACCACGATCAGGGGGATGATCCACTCCATCCTCCCCGGGGAGGGGCGGCTTATCATTCCGGAGGTGTTCTTCTCAGCTGCGAGAGAAATAAGCCAGTCAGGGGACAGGTGTGACAGGCCAGCAGGCAAGGCATGATGCTGAGCTCTGTTCCAGGGAGAGCCCGAGCCCTTGCCACTCTGAGCCACCGCAGGGCAAGAAGGGCAGATGGCTGTCCTAACCCACTCTTCTGCAGGTGGGGTACTCTTTAATGGCCTGTAGGCTTGATCTGCTTGGGAGATTAAAGGGGATGTATTAGGAGAGCTCTGTAGAAGACAGATTTCAGCTTCACTCCAAGGATGCTCTCCACCCAGAGGGAACTTCGGGTTCACTTGGAAATAGCACTCGGGGCTCAGAAAGGAAGACAAGAGAGGATAAGGAATCAGCTTCCCCCAGATCACAGCACACACACTCCTGCCTCTAAACTACATGGCAAACCTGCAACCAGGGTTGTTCTCCCTGGACACCCAATAGTTCTTACCCAGCCGTTCTTTCTTCCAGCATCTGCTATCTTTAGAAGCCTTAGAAGGACAGCCCCGTCTCCCCTGAACTATGGGGCAGATGCCTGGGAAGGTGTAGGGATGTGAGTGAGACAGAGATACAGCCCAGAGCAGCCCACATGCACAGAAGCAGCCAGCGACAGGATTAACACTGACCTCTGAGGGAAGACCCAACACTCCGGGGCTGCCCAACAGCTGTCTTAGGAACAGCAAGTATCCCACCTGCTTGGCAAAAAAAAAAAAAAAAAAAAAAAAAAAAAGGCCAGGACACTGCCAGTCCGGAAGTATCCCTTGGCAACATGAACTAAACGCAGGGCTAATCAAGCTGTGTTTCCAGGGAGGGGAGATGGGTCAAGCAAAAAAGAGAAAATAGGCCTTGGGAGCAGATATTTAAAGAGGCAAGACTCCTGGCCTCAAGGTGTGCTCCTGTGTGATCCAATGCATTTTGCTGCATTACCTCTGTGTTTAGTTTTAGGCTCCTGAAGCAGAGACTGCCCAGGTGCTCCCCAGCTCACTGAAGAAAGGACAGGCAGGCAGCAACCCTGACTGATTCAAGCCTCTGGAAGCCTCTCAGTGTTCTGGAATGCCTTCTGGATCCGCCACTTCCCTGAAGACACACTTCAGAGGGTAGGGTGGCAATGCAGGCTCACCCACAAGCAGCCTTTGCCGGGAGGACCAGTTAGGAGGTCAACCTCTGAAGAGCTGATCACAGCACCACTACCATGGTGCCGGGGGAAGGAAGTACAAAGGCTCAGGCCAGTTCTCACACCGTCCCAGGGGAGTGAGGTTCAGAGCAAAAACTACAGAGTGAAGAGAAGTTAGCCAGGTGAGTGTGCTCGGAACAGAGGCCATGTGATTGGGGGAGCGTAAGTATGGGGGGACGAGGATGGAAAAGTAGAAGTCAATCAACTGGGGTCTCCGAGGCTGAGTGAAGGTCAGAGACTTTAGTTCTCACAGTACAAGGCAGACATTCTCACCTTCACGCTCCACACACTGCCTTAAGTGCAAAGCAACAACCCTAGAGGAGCCAGGGGTACAAATGAGAATAATTTGGCAGGGTTCCAACAGAGGTCAGTTCAGCCAGACAATTATCTGGCTGCTGGTGGGGCTCAAAGACCCAGAGGTGCTGCTAATGGGAGGAGAGTCAGGACGGCTGGCCGCAGAGGCCACATGACCCATCAGTTCTGCTTGTACCCCGGGAAACCCTCAGGAACTGGGGGTGCTCAGAGCCTTTTGCGGATTCTTGCCTGTGGTCCCCCAATAATCAGTTCTCAATAGTCACTGGTATTGCCGCCATTCTAAAACCTGTAAAACTCGAGAATTTTCTTGGCTTTAGGGCGGACACAGGAGTAGCGGTGGCTGTGAGGCTCGGTGGCACACTAGCTGTCCTGAAACTGAGTGTGGGTCGTCTATGTTGATGTTTCTGTCCACCCCTTCCTCAGCCTTCACAAGACAACCCAGCTTTGTACCCAGTCTTCACAAAGGCCCGCGGCCACACTGGGTGGTGACGAGGGGCTCCTCAATGTCTGACAGGGTAAGTCCTCGAATTCGCAACCAGCTTTGGTAGAGCTGGGCTGACCCACTTCTTCCTAGCATTGTGAGGTGCTGTGTGACACTGTCCCCTAAGGCAGTGTCTGTCATACAGGAGACCTCAGTCGGCAGACACTTGCATTCCAACACCACTTGATTTCAATCCTTGCCTGTGGCAGGGCTTTCTTTAAACACCTAACACAGGGCTGGACTAGATTTCAAAATGGTCTGCGAGACAGTCAGCCTTGCCGCCAACTTTACGGCACTGTCTTCTCTTGTCCATCAACGGACTGGAAGGGGATGCCATTTCCTGTGAAAATCCCCACAATCTGTTCCTCTCTTGAACCCTGGGTTTCTGCCCAGAGAGTATAGGGGGAGTGCCCAACTAGCCAGCCCTGCTGAACTGTAGCCATGTCCACCTGACTGAGATCCACGTTTCAAGTGGGACGATCCGCCTTTTATCTGGATCGGCTGAGGTGGAAGGATCCACCTTAAATCTGGGACACACCTTCTGGTGGCAGCCTATATAAATAAAGGACATGGGGGTGGGGGTGGGGAGAAAAGCGCTTGCTCTTTGCCTGTTTGTCCTCTCCCTTGCCAGCAAGTTAATCTCTTAACTGGCATTAGAGCCTACTCCTTCGGGACCCCAGCATACACTGAAGACCAGCTGAGACATTCAGCCTTGCGGACTTTCCGTAAGGAGACAGCCACGGTGGGATAATTCAGACCATAACCTGCAAGCCGCTCTCCTAGATCCAGTTTTTACATACACAGATTCGTCCCGACAGTCCCGTGTCTTCAGAGAACCTTGACTAACACAGAGATACTCATTCAGAAGATGTGTGTAGAATGCCCAGAAGTGTTCCAATACCAGGCAAATGTAGAGACCGTCTACCATCTCCATCTGTGTGCAAACCCTGCACAAGTGAGCTACTGTTAATAATTAGTCTTATTTAGTTCTCAGTGGCTCAGTTTCCCCCTCTGTAAAAGGAGGTGATGATACTGGCCCCTGCGTTGTGGAGTAAGAACACACACACAACGTTTAGAAGGCTGCCTGGTACTTCTCCTGACTGTCATTGGTTGTTGTCCCTGTCCCCATCACTGCATCCCTCCTAACATCACTGGGACCATCACTCCCTACCATCTGAACTATGAGCATCAACAGTCACATCACTGAGCTCTTCCTCAGCAACAGCCCAACCCCTAAGGGACTGGGAACGAACACTCCCTGGATGGTTGCTGAACCTGACTCCCCCCTCAGTGTGTGGTCACTCGGCACTTCAGAAGCACACGGGTCGAACAGTCTGCCTATTACAAGCCACCGGTCAAATACTGGAGTCTCAAGGCTGGCCTCCAGGGGAGACCAATCACTTTCTTTCTACTCCAGAAAGACAGTTGTCCAGGTGTTGACTTGGATCTGTGATTCTAGCGGAAGAATGAGTTGCTAGGAGCTACCAAGAACACACAGCATCCCACACAGGCTGTTAACTTGGTCCCCCAAACCTTCTGCTTGCCTCTGGAAACAAGGAATCACAATCTGTCCAGGCCCCCAGTGGCTGCCTGAGGACACACACACACACACACACACACACACACACACACTGCACACCTATCTATGCTGTGATTTTCCTATACATAAAGTTTATGATGAAGTCTAACTCATGGATCAGAGTAAGGTATGAATAACAGTAAAACAGGACAATTAGAACATCCTGGGATGACAGCTTTTTCTTATTTTTTAAAAAAAATTTTTCTCATTTCTTAGTTCTGAAAATGCAAACCATGACAACGGGCAGGGTCAATCTGCTAACTAAGCAGCTAGTGCACGTGTTAGATGTGAATACAGTCAGGACGCAGAGAGGATTCATTCCCCGGGCAGCGCGGAGTTAAGACAGTGTGACATTTCTTCAAGATTCTCATAACCGCGGGGCATGGTAGTGCCTGCCTTTCCTTCCAGCATGTGGGAGGCAGAGGCAACAGTGCTCTGTGATTTTAAAGGCAGCCTGGTCTGCCTATCTGTAATTGTTAAATTCTAGAATTCCCTTTCATTTTGTCTGGACATAGCTGACTGGTGGTAAAGAACTTAAACTGCAGAAAGCAAGCCTCGAAGACCATTGTATACACGTTCGGTTCAACCAAGGCAGTGTATCTGACCGCAAGCTCCTAGGCCTCCGATCGGGTGGAGCTGGCTACAAGCTGACAGGTTTGTGTGCCACTCGCTCTGAGTAAAATGACTGGCGGCCTCAGAGCCGGGCCCTTCTTCTATCAGAGGAAAGCAGGTGGTAACACAGATTACCTAGGTAAAGCTGACTCTTAATTATGTCTGGATAATTCGCTAGTCAAATGCAAATGAAATCCTGGGGCTGCTTGTTCAAAACTCTTTGAGGAGTTTCCAGAAGGGACCAGAGTGATTGCAGGCATGGGCTGTTCTGAGGACAGGAACTGTTGAGTGTTCACCTTGCATGCCCACAGAGCTGCTTTTGACCAGGGACACTAGCGGCTAGCGCCACTAATCCCGCCTGATGCAGTCTCAGGCTCAGTGGATGCACTTGCTTCAGAACCAACTGGCTAACTGGCTCTGGGCATCTGAAGAAGGGAGGCAGGGGAAGTGCAAGTACCTCCCGTCCTCTCCATCTTCATCCCTGCATCCAGCAGCAATTGAGTACAGTGCCTTCATTCTGTTAAAAAAAATTCAAAAAAAGAAAAGAAAAACAGTTTTCAGTGGCATATGTCATCACTGAATTAATGCTGTTTGCCTTTTACTGGCTTGGCTCGCATCCCAGTAGAAGCAAATAAAAAACCGAGCACAATGTACTCTACATGCGGCAGGCGGAGAGCATCAGATGGACCCAGCTGAAGGGCTTCCTGCCTCGAGGAAGGGCTCAGCTCCTGCCACGGTCAGGAACTCTGGTGCCCTTGCGACTAGGACTAGGTCCCTCCTGAGGGCACCGTCCAGGTGGAGAAAAGGGTTCCTTTGTCAGGGAGAGACGTGGAAGCGAGGTTTGCACCG